CTGGAACAGACAGTTTCTCTGAACTGGAACGCACTGCTGGGATATCGAAGGGATTCAAGTAAACAACTCAAAGTTTAACATGGCAGAAGTGTGGGAAGGGTGAAGATGCTTCTGCCTTTGAAATACAATACCAGAAAACAACAGCAACAACAAAAACACGGACTGCTGCTGCAAGATAAAATGTAATTAAGCTCCAATTTGGATGAGCACAATATCATCTAAAAGATGTTCTAGAAAAACAGGAGTGCGATGGCATATTTCTCTATTGTCACGGTCCATGTTGAGCAAATTGTATATTTAATAGATTTTGTATTGTACACCTATTTTTATTTAATGTACAGGGTTGGTTGGTGTTTTTTTGTGACCAGTATGACTGTAGTAAAGGGGAATCTTTGTGAACACGTGCACCTGCCCTCTTTTGACAAAGGTGCCCACTGGTCCTTTTCCTAAAGCAGCAATGTTCAGACAACAGATCCCTTTCCTATGGCAGAGCCATAACGTATCTATCTGTGTTAGCAATTGCTGCTCCACCAGGAATGGTTTTGTAGATGAAATTAATGCAAAGAACACCCACACCATTCACATTCATGGCTTTTATGCTGGGTTAGTCACAGCAGAGTCCACTAGCCCAGCATCCTTTAGCACCTGGAGCACAAGATCACAGCCCCGTTAGGCTGAGGGCCAACGCTGAGCACAAAGCAGGCTGCAGGAATCACTTGCTCTGTGCTGTGCTCCCAGTTCTGCTGTTTTAAGCTTTGGGTGTTTGTTTGTTTGTTTTTCTTTCTTTCTTTTGTGGTTTTTATTTCGTTTTTGCTCTCTCTGAGGGTTCTATTTTGGAATGGATAACTTCCAGTTATATGCATGAATTATATTAAAAGCCAGCTGCTTGAAGTACATCCATATTAAGTTTCCCCTCTCAGAAGAATTCATGCTGACCTTTAAGTTACGTAGACAGACTTGGAGCGACTTCCATGGAATTCATTTCTCTGTCTCAGCCTTATAGAAAAATTACTTAATGTAAACTGTGGCACATGACTAATTAACATCAGGAGCACACAGCAAAACACACAGTTGTTCAAGCTATGGTCTGTAATATCCCATCTTATCCCCGAAATGATAGGGACACTGAAGAAGCAGCTCTGGCAGAGAAGGGAACTTGGTATCTTATCCACCCCGTGGCAGTAACATTTCCAAGTAAGGAAGACAGAAAACCTTTCGATGAGAAGCAGTATGGCCATGCAGTTTACTTTATTAACTTCTTGTTGTTGTTACAAAGGAAACAGAACGTAGTGAACAAGAAACTATCGGGGGAACAAAACTATCAGGATAGGAAATTAAGAAGTAAACTTTGTTCTATCCTCAGTAAATAATTAATTGTGTGGCTACAGACCACACTACAACAGCACTGAGAACTAAGAAAAAGGACACACAAACCAGGTCGTGAGGCTTCAGATTTTGTTGGTTCAAACATTCAGATCTCAGCATTGGAAGTGAGTTTCTGGACACCCCCCCCCCCTGCAGGTCTTTAATATAACATTTTGAATGAAAACAGACTGTAAAAGGTGGTGGCACCCATGGGTTCCCTGGTCAAGAACCAAAAAAAAAAAGAAAAGATTAAATAAAAATGAATGAGCCACTGGTTTAACATCCAAGCATTACGATACTTGCAAGGACAGCAGAAAAGCAGAAAACTCAGGGCTTCACATTCTTATGGAAGGAGTCCCTCTGGATTTCTAGCCAGCCCGGCAGCAGCCACACAAGCAAGTGCCCCTCACCTGGCACGGGCTGTCCCCAAAATCCAACAGCCTGAAAATAAATTGAGAGAATGAATATGGGGGAAAAAAAATGGAAGCAGCAATAGTTACACAGGTTAAATATCGTCTGCTGCTTCAACTAATTCCTCTAATTTTTATTTGCATAAATTAGAAAATACACATGAAACTCCCCCTTAGCAGATTAGGTTCTACTCAGAGTGTAACGACGAATATCAAAAGGAAGACAGAGCCAAAATTTCACTTCAAAGCCTCCTTAATTTCACGTTTGATCTCTTGAAAGAAGAGCATCCATCCTGCGGTAGACTCAGGAACATGTTTTTGTCAGTTCCCTTTCTCACATTCCCTCTCAGTGCTCCAGGTGTGCACTACATGCAAGCTCTCAGCAGCACTGGCAGCTCACAGTTCTGCTGGCAGCTTCCAAGAGCCCAACAAAGCCGTGACTCTCCGACACACCTCACCATCATGTTTTCCCCACCACAAATGCAATCAACAGAGCAAGAACTCCTGTTTCAGAGTGTTTCAGAGCAGTTTGTGTTTGTATACATAAACCACAAATTTCAACAACCAGCAATGACAGCAAAATGCATTCCAAGAACCAGAGACAGGGAAAAACAGCTAAGAGGAAGTTAGCCCAGCTCTTCTGAACTCACTTCCACATCCATATTTCTCAGGGCCCATCTTTGGTACTTTTCCACTGACAATTTTCGACTCCAAATCCCCTTTCTGACAAATTTCCTATCGTGGCAAAACACAACTGAATTTGTGCCCTCTCTCTCAGCACCATTTGATTTCAATGCACAATTACTATGGACATTTCCTCTTCCCTTTGGTATCAAAGACAGGACGAATATGAAACAACTTTGGAAACAGCAAAACCTCCCCACCCTCGAAGGTGCCCAGTGTCAGCTTTCAGTGTAGTAGGAGCTTTAGCAGCACTCTTTAAAACAGAGCTAGAACAGCTTCTTACAATGGAAACTCTGACAAACCAAGAACTATACCTATACCCAGCGCTGTCACTGTAACAGTCTTTGCTTTCCCTCGTGTCATATTGAAATTTCCATTATGCCTTCATTTGCCCTTCTTTTCTATAAAGGCAGAAGATTAAAAAACTAGGGTGTTGTTTCTTTAATTCTTCACATTCCCAGCAGTTTCTGTCATTGCATTTGTCCTTCCAGCTTCAGCTGGTGACTTTTAAAATGAAGCTTCAGAAAGTAGAACACAAGTTGAACTTGGCTGCTTAACCTTATAACTGAGGTTCTATTTTTCAAAATTATCATCCTGAGAGTGAGTGCTCTTTGATTTTTACTACAACTAAATACAGTGAATAAAAATGTCAGCCAGCAAAACAAAACCCACACCAAACCACTACTTCCAGCTGTGGGCTCAATAATCCTTCCGAGTCCCTCCCAACTCAGGATATTCCATGATTCCACTTTAGGAACTCATTAGTTGAAATACTGCCTGGATTTATCAGTGCATCACCAATAACCTCCTAGAAACTATCACACAGCTTGGAATTGAAAACAGCAGTATTTCATTCACATTTTGACCGTGTACAAACACAGAACTCCAGAAACACTGGAGTGCGACAGCCTCCAAAGAGAAACTGCAATAATAATAATTAAAAAAATAATAATCAGCCTGCTCTATTGCTTGTTCCTGCTTGTGCTCATGCAGAGCATTTGGAGGCAAGAAGGCACAGGATTAGTTTTCATCAGACAAAACTCTCCCCAGATTGCAGCAGTTGCAATGGTAGAAGGAATTCCAGGCACAGAAGAACATGTCCTGGAAGTGCAATGCCACGCTAAATCTGGCAGGAGGAGGGCAGAACGTCAGCCTTGTGTGAATTATGAACCCTCAGACCATTTAAATACAGCTCTGATTATTTCCTGCACACCAATGGAAATCTCTAATGCACATCTAAATAATTCCTTAGCCAGAAATGGGATTCAGCTGCAAACACCACCTTCCTATGGCAGAGGATGCACAGCTCTACACAGCACTGCTGTGGTGGGACGAGCAGCAAAGGGATGGAGGATATTCACAGAATTTGGCATTAACATTCTGGAGCTTAGACCTTGTGCACAAGGTCCGTGGTAAAACCATGGCTGCATTCTTACCCTGCCTGAACAAAGCATGCAATATTTTCCCAGTATGCATCAGTAACGTCTCTCTGCAAGTCTCTACTTGAAGAAAGGAAAATATCTTGCAACATCTTTAAATGGCATCTTGTGTTTGCGTTCGGATACTCTGAGGTTTCATTTCAAGAAGTATCAACTAACATCAACTTTCATAAAAATACCACAGAATCCATCATTTCACCAGCGAATCAGTAAATGCAGCATTCAGCAAAGTCAAATACGCTCTGAGGCATTAGCAAATAACCATTAAGTGCAATGAAAGAAACAGGCAGCTAATGAGAACACAAGGTACGCCTGCAGGTGGAACGTAGGGAAGGAGGTAGGAAAAGGAGAGGCACAACAAACACATGGCACAGAAAGGACAAACAGTTGGGTGTGGCTGCTTTATGATTAAATGGTCACTAATGATAAGAATTTGGCAATAGCACAGAACACATGAGAACACACTGCTTCGTGCTCTGGGTTTCCTGCATGTTGTTATCTCCCACTGCAATAGCTTTCGGTTTCTCGAGGTTAGCAGAATTATTAAATTGGTGATTTATTTGTTTTAGGTGACATTATATGTGCCTCTTCTGGGGGGGTGAGGCGGGGGTTTATTGACTATTACTTCACACAGAGAAATGCCACCTATCCTAAAACGTAATGAAACCAAAGGTCCTCCAGACCACACAACGTATGACAATTAAAAGCAGGGACTTTGGGTTATGAAAGGAAGCCATATGACTAAAAAGTGAATCCATTTTCCAAAACGCCCACACAGACAAGAGCTTCTGATGTGAAAAATGGTCTCTGCAAAAGCTAAATTGCACAGATTATTCTCAGGAAAAGTTCGAAGCTGCTCTAAGCAAATCAGATGATATTTCTCTTTCTTAAATCTCCTCGCAGCGAACTCTCTTCCCATCATTACAGTGACTTTGATTGTTCAATGCAAATGACATAAATACCAATTGTTAATTAAGCAAATAATTGTCTTTCTTTAAAAGGTGCAGAGGCAGAGCTGCTCGGGTTTTCCATGCTGACCGCTCCCCGCCGCAGGCACGCCTTGCCCACCTTCACACAGCAGCCAGAAAGCATCGAGCCTTACCTTGGCACTGGAATCCTTGTTTCCCAAATCCCCTGCGTGAAAAAAAGAAAATAAAGATCACCTGTCTCAGTATGCTTCATTTTTGCTTTGCTAATCTATAACCACATAAAATTAGTTTCTTGTTCTATTTCTTTAGATTTTATCAGGACAGCAACAGACTTAAAAATACACAACGCACACAGCCCACCCATCCCCAGGCAGAGTACAAGCGCTGCCTCTGCCTATTTAATTTCAGCTTCTGGCAATTCTTTTTTATTTTTGTTATTATTTCACAAGCTATTTTTGATCTTCGATTATCATCATCAGTGATCACTGCATAACATTTCAGCTCTTTTAACACCACGCCTATACTGAACGGCGATGTAAGACAGCCCAAGCTGCAGAACCCAGAACACAAACACGACTCCATTCCTCAGCCCCATCCCAGGGTGCCTGCAGTGTCGGAAGGAGGCAGATAAAGGGCTCCGTGCAGATGAGAAGGCATTGGGTGCACTCTGATGCTCTCCCAGCTCCCCGCTTCATTTCCATAACAAAACACAGTTGGGCCCCAACGAACGCAGCCACGCGCTGCAGTGCCACCCTGAACCTCTGTTAACCTACAGCAAATCTCCACGCTGTTGCTTTTGTTTATTTGTTTACCTTTAAACATTCAACATCGCCTTTCCACAAAAATAAACGTTCTGAGGATCTGACCTATAAACATCTCTCTGCATCTCCCCTCTTTGTGGGATGCTTCTCAACTGGAGAGCCACACGGCCAAGAGCAAACAGCCTGGGCAGGAGGCAGGCAGCTTGAGTTAATGCAGAGTTTCACTGGGAACACTGCAGAAGTGATCTGAAAAAATGATTTTATTTTTTTTTTTAATTTAGAGAAGGGACAAAGCCTCCAGGATGAATTCACATCAGGTGGGGAGGGACTCTGTATACTTGCAGCATTTTTTCTGTATTTCTACTGAAAAGCCTTCTCTCTACTATCGACATATGCAGGCCCAAGCTAAGAAGCCCAGAAGAGATACGCAATGGTGTGCTAGCTTGGCAGAATGTGACCCTATGTAATGTCATTCTGTCACTACTATTGCTTCACAAAACCAGAAAGCACACAAGTGTGCAAATGTGACTGTGGGAAAGCTGAGAACAGGATTAAGGACACAAAATGGGCTTTTTGGTTTTATTTTCTCATCTTTTTGAACAGCCACGCAGCAAAGGCCACCGCTCTGCTGCCTACCCCAGGGCACAGCCATTCTTTCTGGGCTGAGCTGAGCACATTCAGCAGCACAGGAAGGCAGCACCACCCCATGCTCTGCTCAGCGCATTTTAAGGAAGAGGTCTTCCAAATCCATCAGCGCTCAGAAGCAAAGCAGAGAGGTGAATGTTGTCTAAGAAGGTAAGGAAGGCTGTGTTATTTCAGGCTGTGTTACCCAGACGAGTCTAATCTAAGTAGAAGATCTATTTGCTCGGTTCATTGAAGGTCGCTTTTGCCATTCTTTATACCTCGAAGCAGATGTTAATAGCCACGTGTCATTCTGGAAAGAGATGAAGCATTTTTCATGGTGTGTGGCACTTATTCAAAACCTGTCTGTCTTCGTGCAAGGAAATGAAACAAGTTCTAGAGCTGTCACATGCCCATGTGCCGAATGCACTGATCTCAGCAACAAGAAAAGACCAGAGCTGCTCCCCGTGCCACCTGTCAGCTGCAGGATATCCTTTCCCTTCAGACCCATCCTGTCACTGGGTGCTTCTTAAACAGCAGCACTGAGTTTTGGTTTAACTGTGGTACTCAGCGTCACAGCGCTGCGCTTCCACACCTGCCTGCACAGTTCAGTCTGCTCTGAATTCATTTTGAAGTGGTTTGTGAAGGTCTCTCACTTTTCTGACAATTAGATTTGCTTCTTTTTCTTTCCAAATAGGATAATAAGTCTGCCTGTTTCCGCTGCACTCTCCTCGTTTCTATTCCCTCTCCTCAGTCTGCAAATGTATGTTAAGCATTTCTCCAGCATGCAAAAGGAGGGATGCTCTGCCAGGCAGACTGTGCTCAGCACCCAGGTGAGAAGATCTGGGCGCACACCCAGCAATGAACCGCAGCCCAGTTCTCAAAAGGACAGCCGCCCTCACACCCCAGCGGATCCAGCTGCCGCCGGGCGGGCGGGGAAACCTCAGCTCCAGCTCCGGCCCCAACCCCTACCTATTCTTCTTCCCAGCCTCAGCTCCGGCCGCTGCCGCCCGCAGGGCTCTCGGGGCCGCTCAGCGTTGCGCTGTCGCCCAGAAGAGGGCACGGCAGGAGGGTTCGGTGCGTGTTTTCCCCAAGAGGCTGAGTAATGAGGGTGTTGGAGGAAGTTTTCCTCCCCTCCCTTTAGCAGGAGCCATTCCCTTGGAGAACTCTCCTCGCAGCAGGGGTGTCACCGCGCTTTCCCAGCCAGAGGAAATAAATCGAGCGCAAAGTTCCAGGCGGGGCCGCACAAGTTGTGTGCCACGGAGCTCAGCGCCCGCGAGCCGGGCCGCAAAACGCGGCCGGAGGAGGAGACGGGGCCGCGGGGCACCGCGGAGCGGGACGAGGCGGGGAGCGGCGCTCACCCGGGGGCCGCGGCTCACCTGCCCGGAGCGGCGGCGTCGGGGGAACGGGGGCGGAGGTGGGAACCGGAGGGAGCCGGGGCTGGGAGAGGAGGCGACCGCGGCGGGGAAAGGGGCGGCTCGGGGCCGTCTCTCACCAGATGAAGTCGGTGCAGTGGCTGCAGAAAGTGGGCTGCTTGAAGAAGCGCGCGATGAATTTGTGCTCCTTCACCTCGTGCACGTTCTTCTGTCTCAGGGCCCCTTTGCGAGCAAAGCGCCGCGCCGCGTCCGGGGCCGCGCCGGGCTCGGAGCCTGTGAACACGTCGGCCATGGCTCCCCGCTCTGCCCGCCGGGAGCCGCCCCGACGTCCGCCCCGTCCGGCGGCCGCCGAACCTCTGGCAACGCTGCGGCGGCGGCGGGCGCTGCCTCCCGCTCCCGAGCCTGACGTCGAAGCGGGAGGAGGAGAATCCCGGCCCCGCGTCGCCGCTCCGCCCGCGGGGCAGAGCGAGCCCCCGGCCGCGGCGGGGCGGGGCGGGCCCGGAGCCGCCTCCGGCTCCCCCCGACCTCGGCTCCCCCCGGCCCGCGGGGGCGGCACCTGCTGCGGTCGGGGCCGCGCTCCCCGCTGACACGCAGACACACAGACGCGCAGACACGCGCACGACCGCCGTACGCCACCCGGCCCTTCCGCCTCCCGCCCCTCCGCCGCCGACAGAGGAGCCGCGCGGTTCTCCCCGCTCCCCGCCCCGCAGCGCACACGCAGCCGCGCCGCCCGCTGCCCTCCGGCTGCGCGGTACGTGCGGGGGAACGGCGGCCCCGCGGCAGCGCCCGCTGCGTTGGCGTTGCCATCCAGCACCCATCGCTGCGATGGGACGGGCAGGAAGCGGGCTGCCAACTCCTTTCCACTAGTTGGTGTGTGCACACGTGCACAGCCACTTCTATCCCGTTTTCGTGCCTGTGTAACGCTCTGGAAGTAACTCCTCTGCTCCTGTTCACATCACGCAGTCTCAGGACATGGAAACATTGTATGCACCCGGCACAGACATCATTTCCTACAGTAACTCCATGCATTCAGGAAAACACTGCATAAAGCATGGCCGTGTGTGTCTGAAAATATTCTGCATCCCAAAGGAAACAAGTCCTAATCATTATCAACTAATAAAAATTATTACCTCATATTTTTCACAGACGGAGAATGGGCGCGCAGTGTCATGAGGCAGCAGTGTGCCCTGGTGGCCAGGAAGGCCAAAGGTTCGGTGGGGTGCATTGCAGGCAGGGCAGGGAGGCTCCCCTGGGGGCACAGCTGGAGCCCTTTGTGGGGCTCTGGGCTCTGCAGTCCCAGGCAGAACTGCTGGAGAGAGCCCAGCAGAAGGTGCAGAGATGGTGGGGTCCTGGAGCACATGTTGATGGGGAAAGGCTGCGAACCCTGGGGCTATTCACCTGGGGAAGGAAAGGCTGAGGGAGGTCTGAGCAGTGCCCATCAATAACTGAAGGGCCGAAGGGTTGGAGCCAGCTCTGGTGGTGCCCAACAACAGGACACGGGGCAATGGGCACAAACCGGAACATGAGAAGTTGCACTGGGGTCCCTTCCAACCCCTACAGTTCTGTGATTCTGTGACTAAAAGTTCCTCTGCCCCACACCGTTCCACATCTGTCTGTGTAAGCATGCACACTATGCAGTATTTCACAAGAATGAAAGAAGGCCAATTAATTCCAATTAAGTCTCATTTGCTGACAGGAGAAGTTGAGCGCAGACATTTACCCATGCAATCATCACACGTTATCTCTCTACTCTTGCTGTGCCAGCTTGGGTTTCTGGGTGCAGCCTGGCTGAGCTGGCACAGCACAGCCTCACACCAAAGAACTGGGGACAGGGCCAGGCTTCCTTTATTCTGCACTTAAGGAATCAGCTCATGTGCCAGTCAGTCCAACTACTGCCATGTGCCCTTACTTCACAGGCTCTTATTTTCCACGCTACCATGTTCAAATTTGATCTGAAATTCAATAAAATAGAAAGATTTTGTGTTTGGTTTCTACCTATTGTGCACAGATGTTTCAAAGCCCTTATTTCTGTTCAGAGAGAATAGATTTTTCTTGTCTTAATTAACTTATGCCGAAGCACGAGGAGCACTGAGAAACATTTTGTACTCTCATTAAGTATTCTATCAAGAAATATGGAATGCATTCTTTGCTTTTCCTATCGTGCTGTCTTACAAACTGAGCTACTGAAACTGGAGAACCTGACTGATCAGACACACCTCCATTGCATTGGATTTAGGGGACTTCATAAATTATGCATTTCCTTAAAATCTCACAAACCTGCTGATTCATTTTGCATTCCAGTTTCTTCCCTGGGAATGGATCTGGTTGAGATTCATTCACTGAAACTCTGGCACGTGTCCCAGGCTCCTATTTCCAGCACCTGCTGATCGCCTCATTAGGCCCCAGGGAAAAGCCACAGTTGTGACACTGAGATGACACTGGGGTCACTCCTCTGCCTCACTGCATGTCAAACCCAACCAATTTTTTGTGTATGATGAATATGGCTATTAGGCAAGGGAAAAAAGCCATTATGAGAGCATAGCATCCCTCAGATTGGGTAAAGCATTACGGCACTATAACCTTCCCTTACTGTAAGTAATGTAAGACTCCCCTGACCACAGTATTTTGGATGCATCTCACTTACACAAGGCTTTAATACACAAAAATCTGTATGTATACATATCTGTGTTTGAACATCAATATCTTTCACCACGTCCAGGAAATGTCACAGCAGTGCTATGAAGGGATGCCATGTTCCACTCGCCAGATGCTTTTGGTATATGCATCCCAACATCAGCTTTTAACAGCCTGGACATCCAATTTCCTCTGCCTGCAGGTCCTGTGGGTGCTACAGGAACTCACACTTCCTCTGTGAATTACTGAAGGAAAGCAGTCTGCCATTCTGAGTGCACACAGCACCATCAGCAGCCCCAGCTTTGCCCTTCTGCTTCGGGTAGCACTGCAGTTTGTTCCTGAGTCAGGCCATCTGGCCAAGGAGTCAGCACTGTCATCTGTGTTCAGGCATATAAGAGGTTATTAAATCAGAGTAGATTCAGAATTTCCAACTCCAAATGAGTTTATAGGATCACCCCATAAGAAGTTTATTCATGTATGAATATTCCTCTGCTGGAAGGGCCCATTGGATGATGTGTCTCTGAAGATGATTGCTCTAACAAACTCAGCTCCTCCAGGGCTTTCTGTATCTGCATCAATACCATCCCAGGTCTGTGAGTGTCCCAGAGAAAGGGCCTGGATTGTTCTGTTCTGATGTGTGCACTCTGCATCAGATCAGCTTGAAAAGCAAAGAGAACACCTTCATTACTGCCTTAGCCAATTGTTGCTCTCTTTTATTATTTCCTGCTTCTTAGAAGTATGCAACAAAAAAAGGAATCACTTCCTGCTGTAGACCTATACGGAAGTTCACAGCCCAATTTCTCCTTACATTTCAAAACAAATTACAATCACTTCCTCTTCTCGAGAGCCATCAGAACAAGCAGTTAGATTCCTGTCCAGAAGGATGACTTCATTGCAAACTTGCTGTCTAAAAACAATCTCCTTCATTCAATCTCATCCTTCAAAGGAATTTTCACAGTCAGCTTCTGAGACATTTGTTCCTGCAGCTATCGTGGAATAACTGTTTGTCATAACAAAGTCCAAACCCATTACCAGTTTCCACTAATATCCAGGATTCGGTCAAAATTCAAAGCCAGCTTTTCCCACTTTTTTTTCCCCATACAACAAATTGTTTCTCTCTTTGAAATCATCCACAACGTTTAGTTTTGAAGCTCCCTTTCTCAAATCAGTAGCTGTTAATCAGTACACCATGCCCATTACTGCTACAGGTTCTCCAGCTCCTGTTAGGCGTTCAGCAGCAGCATTGTTTCTTACTCTTATGCAGACACTTTGGCAACAATGTACCATACGTGTTTCCAAGACTTAGAAAAAAGGTAGGATGTGGCAGTGTAAATACATGTGTGAGCCTTCTTCTGTCTCCTGCTGGAGCCGTGCAGGAAGGCAGGAGTACGTTCCTACCACCACAGAACAGCTGAGGTTGGAAACGAGCTCTGAAATCATCCCGTCCAACCACTGACTGTCCAACCACTGACCCATCCCCACCGTGCCCGCTTTGCATCTTCCTGTACCAGCACTGCCATCTTCATCTTGGAGTCTCTCTGCATCGGTGTATGCAGGGACTGTGTAATTCTGTGTCTTTCTGTGCTTACCCAGATTCTCTTTTCTGCCTTTCCTCCCTGAAGTTCCTGATATTGCAGGTTAGGAAATACCGGATCTGTAGACAGAGCTTATTATCAAATTATTCCATGTGACAGCTTGTTCACACATGCTTGTACTAATGTGAAAGCTTGAGTGTATGTATTGAAGCAGTCAGAAAGAAGGCTGAGCATAGGAAAACAATCTCACAAGAGATGGAATTTCACAGAATAAAATAGTGCCTAAGAGTTTGGAACAACAAAAAAATGGCACCTGGTAACACATGGCCATTTGGAAGGGATGAAATTGCGGCTCATTGATACGCATTAGCAAAATCCTGCTTTCCTTTCTGACATGCACACAGTGCCATCATCCCAACCTGCAATTCACTGAAAGTGGTGCAAAGCCCACGTGTCACACAGAGCTGTGAGTTATCCCCACCGCACTCCATAGGACTGGAAATAAATGGCTGCTGATATACAGAACACTGAGGGTAAAATAGATCTTCATTTTTCATATCAATGTTCTCATCAGAACACTGAGTGACAACCGATTGCTTTCCTTTCTCACATCTCAGGTGCATTAGGAACATGCTGAAATATCTCCTACTTCTGGGGCTGAATCAGAGCTTGATGCTGCTACAGTCTGAAATGTGACAGTGGTCCCTTGGGACGTTTCATGGGTTTTTGTCTCTTTCTAGATTGTATAAATAAAAATTTCTGCCTCAGCTGGAGTGTTTTTTATCACCGCTGTTTTGCAGTTTGTCCTTCCCACCAGCAATCTCTCTGCAAAATTTTCAACATCGCTTCCAAAAAGTAATTCACATTCTTTTGAGTGCATCAGAACAATTCTCTCGTGTAGGCAAATTTCACTCTTCAAACGTACGCACGGAAAAAAAAGGCAGAAAGGCTCAGACTTGGAAATACAAACAAAGCACTCAAACCACATTGAAAAGAACAACCCTCTCTTGTGCCAGCCAAACAAGAGCGCCTCTATTATTGTGTTTAGAGAAACATGGCACACAGGTTCAAAGGAAACAAAGTAGGTGGTTCTTGTGATAGACAATGGGCTCCTGGAATCTTTGCCCAGCAGAACCAAGCACGAGGATTGGCATTGATGCAGGAGGCTGCCATGCGCATGGAGGAGAGCAAACATCTTTGGAGAT